AGAAAATTCAACGAAAGTTGGTTCTTTGAAAATATCAACAAAATTGACAAACCTTTAGCTAGAGTAACTAAAAAAAATAAGAGAGAAGGCACAAATTACCAAAGTTACAAATGAAAGTAGGAACATTATCACTGATGTTACAGAAATAAAAAAGATTATAAAAAGCTGGGTGTGGTGGCACACACCTGTAGTCCCAGCTACTTGGGAGGCTAAAGTGGGAGGATCGCTTGAGCCCAGGAGTTGGAGGCCAGCCTGAGCAACATAGCAAAACTAATTATACAACAGTATTTTTATAATCTCATCATCGTCTCTTTAAAAAATTGTGTGTGTGTGTATAATACTATGGATGACAACAAATTGGACAACCTAAATGAAATGTACACATTCTCAGAAACACAAAACGTACCAAAACTGACTCAAGAAGAATCAGAAAATCTGAACTGACCTATAACAAGAAGACTGAATCAGTAATCAAAAATCTCCCAACAAAGAGGCTAAAACCAGATAGCTTTGCTGATCAATTCTACTAAACATTTTAAAAATAAAGTTTTATCAACTTGCAACATATGAAAATCAATCAACATAATACACTACATTAACAGAATAGGGAAAAAAATATGATCATCTCAACTGATTCAGAAAAAGCATGTGACAAAGCTCAAAACTCAGTAAACTAAAAATAAAAGGGCATTTCTTCAACATGATAAAGGCCATATATGAAAAACTTAACAGCTTACATCATACTCAATAGTGAAAGACTGAAGATTTTCCCTAAAATTAGAAACAAGATAAGGATGCCCATTATTGCCACTTCTATTTAACATAGTGTTAAAATTTCTAGTTAGAGCAATTAGACAAGAAAAAGAAATAAAAGACATTAAAATTAAAAGGAATAAGTAAAATTTTCTCTGTTTACATGATACGATCTTATAGAGAGAAAACCCTAAAAGATTGCACAAAAAAACTGTTAGAACTAATAAACTCAGCAAAGTAGCAGGATACAAAAATCAACACACAAAACCCAGTTACATTTCTATACACTAACAATTAACAATCCAAAAAACAAATTAAGAAAATAATTTAATTTACAATAGCATCTAAAAGTATAAAATACTTAAGAACAGAGTTGTGCACGGTGGCTCGCACCTGTAATCCAGGCACTTTGGGGTGCTGAGGTGGGAGGATAGCTTGAGGCCAGGAGTTTCAGACCAGTCTGGGTAACACAGTGGGACCCCATCGCTACAAAATATTTAAAAATTAGCTGGGCGGGGTGGTGCACACCTGTAGTCCTAGCCACTCAGGAGGCTGAGCCAAGAGGATCGCTTAAGCCAGGGAGTTGGAGGTTGCAGCAAGCTACGTTCGTGCCACTGCACTCCAGCCTGGGCAACAGAGTGAGACTCTGTCTCAAAAAAAAAAAAAAAAAAAAATTTAACCCAAAATTGTACATTGAAAACTACAAAAGATTACTCAAAGAAATTAAAGAAGAATGAAAACAGGGATTCAAACAAATACTTGTATGTCAATGTTCACAAGCATTATTCATAATAGCCAAAAGGTGGAAACAACTCCAGTATCTATCAACAGACAAACTAATAAACAAAATGTGGTATATAAAGACAGCTATAAAATTCAACTATAAAAGAAATGAAGTTCTAATACATGCTACAGCATGAATAAACCTTGAAAACATGCTAAGTGAAATAAGCCAGAAATAAAAGGACATGTATTTTATGATTCCACATATATGAGGGGCACTAAGACAATTAAGAATTTAGATAAGAGGCTGTTTTTAATTAACTAATAAGATTTATTTTATTTCATTCCTTAAAAAGTCAGAAAATATTGTATTAAAATTACTCACAATCCTATCTGTTCCCTATGGCTTCAATCTAGTTTACAACCTTGATTAACCTACATTTTTACAGTCAATGCTCTTTTAATAAGCCCTGTATTACCAACTTACCAAAACTCATGCTACCCATCCTGAATAAAACACGAATGACTAACGCAGAAGGATATACTGAATGCTCCCAACTAGCAAACCTGAACATATCTGTTCCCATAAGTTATATGTTTATATTAGGTGTATTTGTTCTCAAACCTATGGACACAAGTTGTACTTATTAATGTGACTGGCTGACTGAAACACTTTTTAAACTAATACAATGAATGCAAAAAAGAGTTGCTTCTAAAAATTACATTTATATTTTCTCTTTCCTTAGCCAGCTTCTCAGGAAATGTATACAAAATGTCTTGTAACCCCAGTTTACTTTTCTTCAGAACAGTCTGTCTGATAATTATCTGCTTCTACCACTAGATTATCCACTCCATAAAAGCAGGGACCTGTCTTATTTATGCTAGATTCCTAGCTATTATTAACAAAACAGTGCAAGACATGTAATAGGTGCTCAATAAATATTTAAATGATTTAGAAGGAGTCCTTCAAGATAAATTGTCTCATTTAATTAAAATGAGACAATTTGTACTCAGATTGAAGACTTTTTCAATTAACCACTGTTAAGACAGATCCTGTGTGTTCCTCTGTTCCCCAAATGAATTCTTACTTTATTTCAAATGCATTCAAACTGTTTCATTCAAGAATACTTCATATGCACACTCCTCACCACTACTCATGAGAACCCTAAGGAGGAAATGCAACCTATTTCCAATCCCAACAGCAGTAAATTATCCATTTAGTTCTTTCTAAAGTTAAGAGTATGAGAACTTGTTAATAATCAGTGCCAAAAATCCATGAAACGACACCTAAAAACCATTTTCTGTTTTTCTTCAAATTTCACTTAGGAAATTAATGCGCTCCCTTATCAGGAAGTGAGGAGGGAAACACTTCGGTATTCAAATAAAATCTTACAATTCTCCTTTTAGATGAAGAATCCCCCTTCTAGTGTTTTCCAAATCTTACACCAGAACAGTTTCTAAATCTTTTTTCACTGAAAGCAAAAAAAATCTGTTAATTAGATTTGTCAAAATTCTGACTGTCTTTGAAATCAATTTTTAACTATATAAAATTTTAATAAGTCCTTGGTTATTGTGAAAACAGCCTAGAATACTAAGATAGGAAAACTGCCACAGGGTCAGAAATCATTCCAGCTAATATTACAAAGATTGTACATATTACAAAGATTGTACATACTACTTCATTCTTTAAACAAACACTAAAATTGGTCATGTTGAAAATGCAACTGAACAGAGCAGAAAATAAATTTTAATAAGGTATGATGGTAATGAAAAAAGATAATGGCAATGAAAAATGAATTTTTAGGTTTTAAATTGGACCAAGTTACATTCAAAAACAATAAAATCATTGCAGTTAGGAATATATACATAACAAAATTTTTAAAAAGAATAAAACTCAGAAAAAGGTTACCTTTGCTTTTTATTTTTTTGAACTATAATATATACACTTGGGTTTGAACAAACAGAAAATTAATGGAATGATGCAAAGCAGCCAAACCACAGTAATGTTAGTTACCTCAGGGGAAAACACTGTTGGTTATTGTAAAAGACTTATAAAAGATTTTTATAATAATTTCATATTAAGTATCTTTTACAATGGTAGAGCATATTAGGTTTTGTGCTGGAAGAATTTTTCATTATAAAATATCTGACACCTCATTATCAAAGAGAAATATGTAATCAATTTCCAAAGGCTCATATCAAAGATAATCAATTATTGCACAGCAGATACAGCTTGTTGAAAACCTACTCTGTATCATTGTTAGATGCTGTATACGTATTCATAAGCCTCACAACAACATTAAGTATTTTGCACAAAGCCAATTATACCGAAAAAAATCAGCATCAACCTGGCCCCAAAGTCAGTGAACCATGGTATTTTCTTCAACATTGTGCCTAACAGTACTCATAATCTAACAGAGTTTCAAGTGGGTCCTATAAAACATAAA